TCTTGACACCCTGGCAGATCCAACTTTCCAACAAGATAATGCCCGACGACATGTTGCAAGAGTCACAATAGACTTCTTTCAACATAATGATGTCACATTGTTACCATGACCACCAAGATCTCCCGACTTATCCCCAATTGGGCACGTGTGGGATATGATGGGTAGGAGATTGCTCAATTTGCAACGACCTCCTCAGACTATAGAAGCACTTCGAGAGGAGTTGGTGGTTGCCTGGAATGAGATACCACAGGAGGACATTGACCACCTGATCAGAAGCATGCCTATGCGCGTTGGAGAATGCGTAGCACATCAGGGTGCATCCACACATTATTAAAGGTCAAAGGGCTTTAAAGCAGTGCAATCATTTTGAAATTTTTATCATTTACTTATTATGCTTCATTAAGTACTTATACAAAATTTTATTAAAATAAAACCATTTAAACTGAGTTTTCGGATTTATATGTCACTTAGTATAGATTCAAATTTACTGACATAAAATATATAAGGTGTTTTCCAACTGAATGTCAATATTTAAGAGGGCCACTTTTGGTTCCATTTTAAGAAGAAAACTTCATATAATTGTATGTCCTAAACGTCTTGACTTTTGAGAAACAGGGTGGTTAGCTTTTCAAAAATCATTCATTTTTTTGTTACGATCTGTAATGTCACTTTAAATACTTCATTAAAATTCTGCATATATATGTACTATCAAGAAGTATTTTTAATGTACGAATTATTTTTTGATTTCAACCAGCGACGTTCGTACCGATTTCCCTTGCTTATTTTGGCAGAAAATGATAGCACGCAACTGATATAAATAATATAATAAAAACTTTTAATTGAAATCCCGTCACTTCTAGGCAAATTTGATTGCTTAATTATTGTTCACTCCGATGCACGTTATTCGCTTGCAAAAATAAAATAACGTAACTTCAAGAGATAAATGTAGACTTTAGAGCCACATATTACTTATTTCTTTTTACTGTGACTATCATAACTAGCAAAATATGCTCTTCATATGAGTGTTTCAAATATCAAACCTGTTCAGTTTTTGATATTTCTTTCTCAAACAGTGAATGTTTTTCTTTCCTATGCCACAGTTTTAATAGATTTTCCCTTTTATGTTAAGATTACAAGTCAATGAACAAATTTCAAAAGAAACTATTTAGCTGTCCTCACTTTTTCTTCATATACCACATTCTACAACATTAATATATCGTGCAACACATTTGACAAATACAACATATTGTTCTTTGAGGCTCAGTGCATTGTTTTCTTTGTTCTTGATGATACCACTGACGTATGCTTAGTCGCTGAAGACTCCATTATTGATAGCGATTTAAATCCAAAATTTATACCCAGCAGTATAAATACAAATCAAATTCTGTACCTCAGAGCAAGGCTAGGTTAGGTTCATTATTGCCTAAAATGAGTCTTACATGTTGAGTTCATGATAAAGTTGGGAGTTTTAATTTGATACTTGCAACATCTATCTACCTGTAATGATGAGTGAATTATGAATGCAATGAAATGATCTTGAAACGACCTATTAGGGCTTTGAGGTAACTACAATTTTCAACATACTGGGTCATTTCCGCTTAACTAGTTGTTTGAAGTGTTTGGAGTTTGTTTAACATGAAGGTTATTCCCTTGATGAGTCACAATTTTCTCTTATCTTCCCAATCGTAATTAATTATGGAATTGTCATAAGGTTTTTCTGATTTTGTCTCATGCTGCAACTCTATTTTTCTGTTTACTTTCTGTAACACGTCATTTTTGGTAATCCTACATGACCCTGGCATTTTGAGCGATGGTCAATAATAGTAATTATGATCTTCACATACACACATTATACATACCTGTGCCTGACACTCTACACAATCCAGAGTCCCACAATGATTTGTGAAAAAGTGAAAAAGCATCTCCGACATCGACAATGCAATAATTGCACTTGCCATACAATGTTTCTTATCCGTGGAGGAACCATCTCATAAAGTCTGTGAGAATGGATCACACATGAAAATAATGCGTTAGGTATATAATGTGGATATGCAATGATTTGTTTTGGTTGAACTTACCTACCTTCATCAAGAGAACAGCTTCCTTGCAAGCTTCTGGACTTATATACATACAAATATAATATTATAATATAATATATCCATGTGCATTAATTTTCCTAGCCCAACCATTTTTTGAAGATACCACAGGTTGTGGAATTTGTTCAATCTAGCGAAGTATTATTGACTGATCGACATTATTTGCGAGAAAATAATAAAATATGGTAATTATGGTAATTTATTGAACGTCAAAACAACAACATGACCTCCAGCCAGAACTGTCAGCATGCCGGAAATCTAAAGCAGGACATACAAGTACCATATCGAAGAGGACATGGTATTATCGATATCAAGTAGGCCATAAACGCGGCCTACAATTGTAGGGACGACTGACGATACGGGCCTAAGTGTAACTTAGTTAATGATATTTAGCAATAATATCGTCAAATTTTGTAAGTAATACAAGATCAACTATCCACGTGTAGTTGCTGTTTTTCAAATGTTATGTAGTTCATGATGATGATGACACGTAAGCGATAGAAAAAAGTTACAAGAGTACACTTTGCACTAGAATGTCGAAGTACCCAATAATGGCTAGAGCTTTCTCTCTCTCCCTCTCTCTCCTGACTATATGAATATATTTACAGCCCTGAAATTTGTTCATTAATATTTGTGACTTCTGCATCCTATCGTTGAACCAGCCATAATTGACCTGCGACTAAAACGAGTCAGTAATGCCTCAAGCATCATCTCGGCTTCCTAATAAACTGATCCACTCTAACAAAGCCAAATAGCGAGGAAAAATTCCGCTAATGCAAGTCGGGACTTTTTTCTAATGGCGCACCTGCGTCAAACAGTCGCTGATGGTTTCCGGTACAAAGAAGCTGTAAATTCGAGGTATTAGAGTACGTTTAAGCTGGCAGCAGCAATCATACACGCCGATTACAGAGATATATGTAACGATATAATTGAATCAACGGAACTAGCGGGACAAAGCGCGAGCCTGGGATCAGTAATCGGTTGCTTCTTTAGGGTTTCGCGTCTACGTGCCTGTTGAAGTCTCTTGGTAAAGAAATGTCTGCTTAACATTTAACTATCAGTCACATTGTTACCATTTAACGTGGGTGGTAGACGGTCTCTGGCTGTCAAACGTGGAGGTACCACCCGGCGGATCTCTAAGCCTGAATACATCCACACGTGTTCCCTCGCTAGAGTCCGTGCGGTATCCCCCCTTTCCCCTAAAGCCCCACGGTACCCATCGGTGCTTAGGCCTTAGGCCTTCGTGGTGGTTTCAGTATAAAAAAAGCGCAATCCTGGGATCAGTAATCGGTTGCTTCTTTAGGGTTTCGCGTCTACGCGCCTGTTGAAGTCTCTTGGTAAAGAAATGGCAGCTTAACATTTAACTATCAGTCACATTGTTACCAGTTAACGTAGGTGGTAGACGGTCTCTGGCTGTCGAACGTGGAGGTACCAGCCGGCGGATGTCTAAGGCGGAATACATGCACACGTGTTCCCTCGCTAGAGTCCGTGTGGTATCCCCCCTTTCCCATGTAGCCCCACGGTACCCATCGGTGCTTAGACCTTTGACCTTCATGGTGTTTCAAGTATAAAAAAAAACAAAACGCAAGCCTGGGATAAGAAATTGGTTGATTCGTTAGTGTTTCTCGTCTACGCTCCTATTGAAGTCTCTGGGTGGAGAAATCACAACTTTGCATTTAACTGAGAAACTCAACTGTCAGTCAGATTGTTACCAGTTCTACCGATTCTAGCCTTATTCTACCGAACTACCGATTTTAGTACGAAACGGTAGTAAGATATATGAATTATCTTAAATGGGGGAAAGTTAACTAACAAGATTCCGGTTGGAACATTTTCGTTTTAATCTTTTCCTGTACTTATTTATAGTGAGATTTCACATTAACTTTTTCTCCTTTACAAGATGAGAAAATTAGAACTCCAATATGAGGTTTCGTCTCTTGTCCTCCAGAATCAGTAGTTGGTTGCTTCTTTCGGGTTTCTCGTCTAAGCGCCTGTTGAAGTCTCTAGGTAACGATATGGCAGCTTAACCTTCAACTGTCAGTCAAAGTGTTATCAGTTACCGTAGGTGGTAGATGGTCAATCGCTGTCGAACGTGGAGGTACCACCCGGCGGATCTCTAAGGCGGAATACATGCACACGTATGTTCCCTCGTTAGAGTCCGTGTGGCGTCTTCCCCTTTCCCCTGCATCCTTCTGTAGCCCCACGGTACCCATACGTGTTTAGGTCTTAGGCCTTCGTGGTGGTTAAAGTATAAAAAAAAGCGCAAGCCTAGAATCAGTAGTTGGTTGCTTCTTTTGGGTTTCTCGTCTATGCGTCGATTGAAGTCTGGGTAGAGAAATCACAGCTTAGCATTTAACTGAGAAACTTAACTATCAGTCAAACTGTTACCAGTTCTAACGATCTTAGCCCTATTCTACCGTACTACCGATTTTAATACGAAGCATTTATCTTATTGGAATCTTGGAAACATCTTAGTTATTTCAAAAAAATTCCTAGGTAGGCCTTAGAATTATTAGATAGTCATTTGTGCTCTGTTTCAATTCTGTCTGAATTGCTTGCAAAGCTTCTTCAAACTTCACACCCAACCACACTCTACGTCAGTACTTGATAGACAGGCAAGAAAGGAGTATGTTCGCCAAATCAACGATTACGTATCAATTGACACGTCGTGAAACAAAAAGCCTTATAGACAATGAAATTCCGAGGAACAGCATTTAGAGGGCGTATCCATAATTCGAAATCTAGTTCGGAGACTTTCATAGTAGTGGTGTGGTTATTTTTACAGCTTTCCGAACGACCTTGATATTAGTGTATCCAGTTTAGCGTTGGAAAATCTAGCAATAAGCACAGATAGGACGTTTCTTTTTAAATATGCAAAAGAGACCTTAGATAGTTATGTCTTACCTGGCACTTCGCAACCGCATCCACCGTAGCCGTCATTGCAATAACACTGGCTGTCCAAACAAGCGCCATTTTGACAGACAGTGGTATTGCCTTTCTGGCAATCATCTGAAACAAAAAATAAAGTATGAGTACTATAATTCTTCATGGATACCTTTGTGTGTTATTTATTTATTTATACAAAATTGCCCAACATACTAATTAAATTGCAGGGTAACTTAACCTAGAGCGTGTATTCAAGAACCACATAAAACAAACATTGAGTTTTAATTGTAGTAGTACCAGAATTCGACAAAATCTTACTGATACAACAGAAAAATTAATGACAGAAATGTCCGCTATGAAATTATACTTTGCATATAGAACATAGCGGTGAATAAAGTGATACGTTGGTACGGGAGATATTGAAGTAGAAAGTTAGAGTCCTTTTCAAATTTGAAAGTATATATCATAAGTAAGGTTCAGCCCAGTGTTCCAGGACCGAAAAATGCGAAATCGGTAGGCAGTGTCGTTGACATTCCATAGATTAAATGAAAAATGATATTGCGCTTACATACACAACACATTTTTTTTTTAGAGCGTCTGTCCCTGTAAAAAAGTAGATTAGATAATGAAGTGAGCGACATAAGAATGATTGAGTACGGAGTGCCGCAAGGTACCGTTCTAGGGCCTATACTGTTTAGTATTTACATCAATGAGATGATTTCGGTCCAATGTAGTGGAGACATCTTTGGATTTGCAGATGAAACCGCTATATTTTACAAAGCTGACACTTGGCAAAATATCGAATCCACCGTAGAGACTGACCTACCAAATATAATGAGATGGTTCCAGCACATGATATTAACAGTAAACTGGGAAAAAACATGTTATATCCCCTATACATGCAATAAATCTACGAAGCCATCGTTTAGTGATATAAGTATAAGTGGGAAACAATATTCAATGAAGCCAGAAAGAAGTGCTAGGTACCTTGGTGTGATTATAGATGAACATCTGAGGTGGGATAAAGACTTCATCTGTAAAAAGTTGCGTACGGTTCTCTCAAAACTCCGATGCATGAAAAAAATATTGACAACCTACCAAATGGATCTCCAAAGGGATCAAAACATAAATGTTCGTCAGCGCAGATTTACCCGTATGATTCTGCGTGAGTTTGATAGAGATCCGACCACAAGTGTTAGGAGAGTTTCTGGTGCCTTGGGAATTTCAGCAAGCCATGTTCACCGTGGTCTTAGAAATGACCATAGACGTCCTTAACATTTGCAACCTGTGCAAGGACTACAGCCAGGGGACGGAGAACGAAGAATCACATTTTGTCAGTGGATTCTTGATAGAACTGATAATAATAGGGAGTTTTTAAGTAACGTTTTATGGACCGATGAGTCATGCTTCACTAGACGTGGAGTGGTCAATTTTCATAATCAACATATTTGGTCGCATGAAAATCCGCATGCAGTTCGGGAAAGAAATTTTCAGCATGAATTTAGTGTGAACGTGTGGATGGTATCTACCGTAATTGACTATTTGGACCCTACCTTTTGCCTGCAAGGTTAAGTGCTGCGACCTTCTTGGAATTTTTAAAGGCTGAACATGCAAATATGTGGGATGATGTTATGTTAGATTTAAGAAGATTGGCCTGGTTCCAGCTTGATGGTTGTCCAGCTCATTATTCGAGAATAGTTAGAAACTGGCTGGACAAAATTATCCAGAAAGATGGATCGGCCGTGGAGGACCAGTCGCCTGGCCTCCACGATCCCCTGACCTAAATCCATTAGATTTCTTTGTGTGGGGATTGCTAAAAGAAAAATTTTACCAGACTCCCGTCACCACAAGAGATATGCTAATAGACAGAATCAGGAATGCATGTGATGAAGTCTGTTTTTTTGTGTTTATTTGGAGTTAGGAATTATTGCTGTGTTTAAAACACAATCTAAACGATCATCTTAATTACTTGTAATGCCCGAAATCGAAAATGTAAAAAAAATATTATTTTCCCATAAATAATTAAAAATGCATCGAACCTTAAAAATCGAAATATCTCAAAAACGGCTAACTATAACGAAAACTCACAGGAGAGTTTTCTTATGCAGAAAAGTGCGAAGTATCAGTTTTTTTATTCATAAACCAAAAAATTGTACTAAGAAAAATTATTCGGTCATTTTAATACACTACAGGTACAGTAGAGAGCGCCCTCTAGCGGCTACAGTAAAACTATGATCATGGTTCGTTTTGTCATACCGAGAAACCGTTGTATACCAATTTTCACTGTTATACATCAAATATTGTTCGAAATATTTAAAAAAAACTATTTTAAAAAGTAAATTTAAACACCCTGTATTTCGGAAGCCACGCATTTTTCGACCCATGTTTATATATACTTTGTGCATTAATTTTAAAAGTTCTATCGAATCTTAAAGTTATGCGACAATAAACTGAAACACCCTGTATATGTATGTGAGATTACAATGTGTTTATAGTATAGATATATAGATATACGGTTTCTTTCTATGCCGAAACATGTGTTATTTTACACTTATCGGCTCATGCTTTATTCATTCATTTTGTTTTTATATCAACTTTTTTTTCTGAATAAAGCCTATTGAATTGAAATTGAATTGAATACATATTTCATTTTCAAATTTTTTTCAATTACAATACTTCCTCCAGTACATCATTTAGTCTGTTCAGAGCAAAGCTCTGCATAATCAAGATATTCCAACCAATTACAACATTTCCATGGCCCCAAGAGCTTAGCGCCGACGATACGAAGAAACCTCCGCAACAGCAATTTGTTAATTGAAAACAAATTAAAATTTATGCTAGTCGGAAGGCCGTTCTGGCTGAATCGTGAGCCATTAAGTCCGCCGTGGCGAACTGGCGAGGGTCAACAAGGTCGAAACGTCTTGCGACCGGAAAAACTTCGGAAACAAAAGCCGAGCGCACGTATGGACTCCAGCACGGAGGCCCCGGGACGACGTTGTACGACTGGGATTGCGAGATACATTAAATTAGGAGATCGCAACAGGGACGAACTCTATCTCAGAATCTTTTTTGAAGAAAATTACAAACCAGCAATACCTGATTTGTGGGTTAATGTAGTAGTAGTAGACATCTATTTACTCCATTATACATATCGTCGCCTTTCTCACGAAGTGTCCTAACTGACAAAATAGCAACCATTGAGATAACCCGCATATAGGTGTATTATTTCATGCCGGTTAATCTGACTTAGAGGCATAACTATATATCTGTTAGTATAGGTAACAAATCATTAACTCCTGGGTGTCTTATCTGTCAAGGTAAATATATAATTCCCACGAAGAGACCTAAATGAGGATAGGTCTCATAGTATGCTATAATCGTTGCTAGTATACGCACCTCGGTGGCCGAATCATGGCTAAAGTGAAGGGAGACTCTGCCCACAGTGCAATTCATACTGCGGTAAAGGGAGCTGGAGATCTTTTTGAAGTCTCACAATTCTATCCGGTTTTTCGATTGGCCAGAAGACGTCAACCTTATTTAGTAATCCCAATGAATATTTTCACTTCACGGAACTTTCAAAAGATTTAAGAAAGTTGTCCACAAGGCGAACTGAGAAAGGGCAAAATATTAAATGGACGGGTATTATGGACTTTATGGTAAGAAAAGACATGCCCACCAAAATATTTTTCATGTCTAGACACCACGATACTAGTTATGACAGTATTGAGTTAAAAAGACCGTTGAGAAATAGTAATAATATAAATAATATTAAACTACTCGTACAACAACTTAATAAGGAACCAGCAAAAATAACAAAATAGAAATACTCCGACTAAATTTCCTTATGTGAAAATCCAACACCCGTCGTATGCTTACCAGAATTCCAACACTTTTTTAGAAATTTGCCCCATGAAACGGAATGAAATAAGTATTAAAACTATTGCCTTTGTTTTTTTGTGAATTATAACACATCAAAATTAGCTGGTAATATGTCAAAAGATAATGTTTAAGTTAGTTGTTTTTCTTTTAGTTTTTATTTCAATAAAAATTGCTTTGACGTTTCGAGTTGTTTTCTTCATCTTATCACCTAATATTTGTGTCATAATCTACATCAATTAAGGGCTTGGTCACTCTGAGAAATGTTGTAGGAGGTAGCCAAAATTCAAAAGTCGATCTGAACTTTTTTATAAAAATTCTGCTGTCAGCAGACCAACGATTACTTAAAAAATTATTAATCAACACATTTTTTGAGATAATCGCCCCTTTGGCTGTAAATATGATTCTTTGCTAATAAGTAAATGAAATAAATTCTGTTTTTTCTGTAATAATAAGAACTTTAATTAAAATATATTTTAGCCCTATGTGACAAAAAGCTTCTGAAAATTGTCGCGAAGTGACCTACGTGCGTTTTCCATTTTGTTCAAAAATAACTTGATAAGCTAGCGTAAATATTGAAACAGCATATGATCGACAATGAATATGGGTTGATGCACTGACATGTTCAATTCCGAAATATCTAAACTTTACATACAATGCTCATTCAACAATACCCTTGCTCTCCTGTAAAACTTACTAAACGTTGGTTAGGACACTTCGTGAGAAAGCCGACGATATGAGTATTTCTCAGCAAATTTTGATATTCATGTCCTGAGCCATTGATGCTTTGGATTGCATGGATTAATCATCAATTTAATATTTTTATTATATCAGTAAGTATGAGGGATGCCTTTTAAGTTCTGCATATGGCAATAAAACGACACGGTAGGTAGTTGTAAATGACTTCATTGTCTTTCGAAGTATTCTCCACGAAGATTAATGCACATCTGCATGCGCTACAACCAATTTTCGAAGCACTTATTCCACTCGTTTGCTGGCAGATCCAAAACGGCATTTTTGAATGCGTCAACTGCTTCTTCTGGTGTCTGGAACCTTTGACCACGCAGTCTGTTGACTATACGGAGGATCGTCCAATAATTCCACGTTTTCTTCCGTTAAATACCGCCTTGTTTTTTGGGCTGTGTGCGAGCTTGGATTGTCTTGGTGGAGGATGACTCTTCTTTCGGGGTTGATTTTTCGAAGCTCGGTGATGACTTTTGGCAAACAAGTGGTGGTATACCAATCCGCAGAAACAGTTATTTGATCATTAAGAGGTATTGTTGCAATATGATCCGCTTTTGATAGAAATGTCGCGACCATCTTTTTCGGAACACTTCGAGAACGGATGACTTTTGTTGGCTTTTCTTCACCTTGGAAGACCCAAACAGCCGACTGTCGTTTATTTTCTGATTCATTACAGTAAATCCATGATTCATCACCACTAACAATATGGCTGCTTTCTGCTCTTCAGTCAACAGGTGGGGTATCCACCTAGAAACTAATTTTCTTACTCCTAGTTCTTCATGTACATTTTTTTCTAATTGACGTCTTTGAGATCTTCAAGGACGCCTCAATCTCGCGATATGTCACATGTCTATCTTCAATGATGAGTTTGCGCACAGCATCGACGTTTTCCTCGGTGACTGCCGCTTTTGGTGCACCCACCCTGGGATCGTCGTTAAGACTCGCCCATCCACGTTTGAATTCTCGATACCAACGGAAAATTGTCGACTGATGTGGCGCTTCGTTGCCGAAAACAGACAGTAACTCAGCAAGGCATTCTTGTTGCGATAAATGTCTCTGAAAGTTGTAATAAATTATGGCGCGAAAATGTTCTCGGTTGAGTTCCATTTTTCTAATGACTTGGCGACACTTAAAAATTCACTGTAGTGAGAACACTGCACGTATTGTTGTGAAACTTTGAATTTAAGTTTACTAAACGGTGAGGTTAAGATTCAGTACTGACGTTCGATCCTCGCGGCCTACTATGTTTCTATATGCAAAACTTAAAAGACATCCCTCGTAGTTGTGCATTTGCTTCTATCCTTCTCGCTATAATTTAGTTTTACTTTATTTATACTATTTTCTATAATGTTTTTAATTTGCTTATTAGTATGTTTGTGGTTTCATCTATGGTATTTGATAAATCTACGATTCCTTTCTAGCATTGGCTATTAATTTTGTGCTACCAATAAAATACTTAAATTTTGTGTTATTTGCATTTTGCCTGTACCAGTAATCTCACTTTCATAACCTAAAGGAGTATAGGTAAAATTACATATTTTTTTTTATGAAGCGGTCGTGAATGCAGGTTTCACTAGCAAATTGTGTTGTTTTATTTATATAACATGAATAACCACTACTGGATATAATATTTAAGTATTCTTTCGCCGTTGCAGATCCAAAATATGTGTGTACCTATAAAAATATGATAATTAATTTGCAAGTTTTCATTAGTATTTAAAAAGTTGTCTATGTTTCTTGTAGATGCATGAGGATCTAAAGATGGTTAGATAATGAGATATTCCTTACCCATCATGACGAAATGCATCATACACAATTGGAGACAGAAAAATAGAATCCTGTTTGAAGAAAATTGCGAAACAACAATACCTGAGTTGTGCGTTAAGGTGGAGAGAGACAAATAGATAGCCCCTACGTTTGAAAAAGGACAAAAATTCGTTTTAGTGGACTTTGGGATTGAAAATACAATTAAGATCGGAGTTTCCCGAACGGGTGGCAATACATTTATCTTTTGGTCTGAATTCCTGCATGTGGAGTGTTGTCATGGCCAAAGCTGTGAATCGGACTGATAGATAGACAGATCCCTGGGGAACTACGACCGAAGGCTTAATTGCTAACACTCAAATAGACAATCTCTTTGGTAACCTATCTCGATCTCAAAATAAACCCGCGTTTCTCTGGTTGTACCAGCTAGTCCGACACTGTATGGGAAAAATCGCAAGGCACGATGTCTGTTGGAACGTGAATGTAAAAGGGGCTTAGACCTTCCAATAGTTCCAATCGTGCGGTTTAGCAGAAGGGCGAGAAGGAATGCAAAAATTGCAGTTTGTATACTGAAACGTATAAAACTTGTTTCGTTATGTGCTTGTTTCTTCGCAAATCGTCAAATCCACCACGCAATAAACATTATTTAGATCGATTTTGGAACATAATAGAAACCACATACGTATATAAACAATAGCGATCAGACGTGAGCAGGTGATAAGTGGATTATTTTCTTCATTTGGTTACGAAAACGCAATTGCTTCTCATCTTAGTTTGTAATAGCCTATCTTTAAGGAACTGAATGTGAGAAAATGTCTATTTGTTCGAGAATACGATTGGGTTGAAAGAATGCAACACATAGACTGTGTACGGAAAACGTCACCTTGGGTTATAGAATTGCTTTTTTACATTTTGTACTGCTAAAGCGTTTTAGAGAACAATACGTGAAAGATACAAAATATTACGATCCCAGAGTGGGTATCTGCAGTTATATTGACGGAGAAAAGGGCGTTCAGTATTTGGGCATTTGAATTTCGATCATCGAATGGCCAGAAACGAGTATTTTAAATTATTCTTTCACATAAAAATTGTTGAACTTCTTGAACATATCATTTCACCAGCTTAATCAATTGAAAATAAGAAATGTTGCTAAAATACTAGCCAGAATAGCTGTATGTAAAATCTACAACCAACTTGCTCTTGAGGTTAAACATTACTAGCCCCTATAATAATAACAGTAATAATAATATATTTATTGCCCAACAGATACATCCATTTAAAGAACAATGTAATTGAATACTATTTGACCTTACAGTATTCTTAACTACAATCATAGCGCGCCCAGTTTCTGAAAAAAATATGAAAGAAAAAATGAATAATAGTAGTCGCTGAATACAGCTAATATATCTTTGACTTTATCATGATGAATCTCACAATTATCAGCTATGGTGTCAAAGCTGGAGCACATAAAGTCCACGGGTGACTTAATCATAACATTAGAATTTGGTGTTTTTAAGTAAAAAGCGAGAAATCTTCGCGAAATGCAGGACGGTACATGAAAATCAATTTTAGCTAATAAAGCTACGAGTTTGTATAGGAATTTTAAACTATTACAAACTCTTCTCAGCTCAAGAGGATGCGTTTCAAATCTGAGCAACATCGCTGGTTGGGGAGTCCCACGATTGGGGTAAACACCATCTAATTTAAAAGTCCAGTATGGTCCAAAACGGACGCAGGAAAGTAAACGCATATTAAAACAAGAAAGAATGATATTCAAATCAAGTTGGGTACTTTATTTTGAAGGTTCATTTATACCATTTATGTATGAAAAATAATATCGCTCAAATGTTCACCACGACTGGATTTACAGACGTCCACGCGATGGTCGAAATTTTCAATGACATTTTGCAACATGGTCGGTTCTATGGCATTTATCTTGGCAATGATGTTGTTTTTGAGTTCTTGGAGGGTGGCTGGTTTGTTGACGTAGACTTTGCTTTTCAAATATCCCCATAACAAGAAGTCCAAGGGAGTCGAATCGCACGATCTTGGTGGCCATGGCACATTTCCTCTGCGCGAAATCACGCGATCACCGAAGAGGGACTGCAATCGATGGATATTGACGTTGGTTGTGTGGCATGTTGCACCGTCTTGTTGGAAATACATATCGTCCATATCCATTCCTTCAAGTTGCGGCAAAAAATAGTCATCTATCATCACGTGATATCGCTCAGAATTGACGGCAACGGCGTCCCCGGCCGCATTTTCGAAAAAGTAAGGTCCGATGATGCCTTTTGACCACAATGCACACCACACAGTCATTTTTTGAGGATGCATCGGCTGCTCTTGATACTCACGGGGATTTTCGTTCGCCCAGATGCGGCAGTTTTGCTTGTTTACCGTCCCATTCAAAGTGAAATGCGCTTCGTCGCTGAACATGATTTTTGATGAAAAATTGGCATCAATTTGGCGGTGTTCAAGGAGCCAATCTGAGAACGTTCGGCGCGAAAAATGGTCGGCTCGACGCAGCTCTTGCATCAATTGGATCTTGTAGGCGTGTATATCCAAATCCTTGTGGAGAATGCGGAGCAAACTGGTTCTCGAAATGCCCAATTCTTGGGATCGAGGCGTTGTTGATTGTTTCGGATCGTCTCTCACACTCTCCTTCACAACAGCAATATTTTCCGGTGTGCGAACGCTCCTTGGCCGGCCAGAGCCTGGCAGATTTGCCACAGAACCTGTTGCCTCGAATTTACGCACCAGACGACCGATGGTTGTTTCGTTTAGGCGGTTGTTGCGACCGAAATGTTCACGAAGCGCGCGAAACGTGTTTTTTATTTTTGCACCATTTTTGTAGTGCTCTTGAATAACTTTAATGCGGTCTTCAATCGAATACGAGTCCATAGCGATCAATGGTAAACATTCAACAAACAAAATGACATGTCGGTGACAGAAAACAAAGATGGCGTCTATGTCAAATTGACGTTTCCTTTCCTGCGTCCCTATTGGATAACCCATTTAAGAAATCTCCTCTTTACACTTTCAATTTCATTAGTATAGGTTTGGTAATATGGATGCCATACACTAGATGCATGTTCCAGCTTAAAACGCACCAAGGTGCAGTATAAAGCCTTCAGTGCCGTTTCACTACCAAACGATTTACAGTTTCTTATCAAAAAACCAAGACTTTTTATAGCGGATTGTACTAATATGACCTGTAGATTCTAATTTAACATCAAACAATACTAAAACAAAAGTTACAATGCTAACGCATAACAGTTGTATGTACACGATGCTAGGTGAAAAAGTCTCTACAGAAGCACTACTATTTACAACTCATATACATTAGTAAAACATCACCTGTACTAAAAACAGAAATTTATGATTAAAAAAAAACTGTTTTTGATACAATCAGTGGCATTTCCTCTTCTATATACATTTTTTAGGCAAAATCAATTGTTTTTTGTGGTTTTTGTAAATCATTGTCTTGCTTTACTTGTATCTGTCACATCATTTGTTTCAGGAATCAAATTCTGTGATTCACACCTTCTAAGCCTTGTCTAAATTGAATCTGACACAGTTTCAGTAGTTACATCTTCTGCTTTTATGCACAATTTCTCTTTAAATTCCTGCTACCGTTGACGCTCTTCTTATTCTTCAAACTCTTATTCCTCTTAGCTTCAGACTCAATTTCCCTTTCATCAAGATCCATTTCAAATATAAGTTTAGCAATAGACCTCCTGAGCTCTGACTTATCAACATCCATTCTTTCTTCAGACATATCACCATCATCTTTATTCGTGAGGAAGTTTTCATTTATAGTTCCTCGCTTATTTGATGATTTTGCATTCATCTCATTTTTGTTTTTTCCGGCACATTCATTTGCTGCAGCTATCGAAACTGTATCAGATTCACTAGAGCCAAGACTTAGAAGATCTGAATGTGGTTGCTGAAATGAACGATGTGACGAATGCTAGTCAAGTTTTGGTTGAAGAAAAGCAAAAAAAAAAAAAACAATTTATTTTGACTAAAAAATGTATACCAATGAGTAGAGGAAATGCCACTGATTGCATCAAAAACCAGAGAGACAGTGCTAAATTTGTTGCCTTCCTTCCAGTTGAGTTGCATCGTCATATCTTCATTTTTTTTGATTCGGCACTTTATTGGTTATTATAATATACTAAGTGACATATAAATCCGAACACCCAGTTTAAATGGATATATTTTAATAAAATATTGTATAAGTACTTAATGAAGCATAATAAGTAAATGATAAAAATTTCAAAATGATTGCACTGCTTTAAAGCCCTTTGACCTTTAATAATGTGTAGATGCACCCTGATGTGCTACGCATTCTCCAACGCGCCTAGGCATGCTTCTGATCAGGTGGTCAATGTCCTCCTGTGGTATCTCATTCCAGGCAACCACCAACTCCTCTCGAAGTGCTTCTAAAGTCTGAGGAGGACGTTGCAAATTGAGCAATCTCCTACCCATCATATCCCACACGTGCTCAATTGTGGATAAGTCGGGAGATCTTGGTGGCCATGGTAACAATGTGACATCATTATGTTGAAAGAAGTCTATTGTGATTCTTGCAACATGTGGCCGGGCATTATCTTGTTGGAAAGTTGGATCTGCCAGGGTGTCAAGATAGGGTAAAAGATGGGGTTCTAGAACTTCGTGGATATAACGCTGCGCGTTCATGTTACCTCTGATGAAGATTAAAGGTGACCTGGAACCATAAGCTATAGCACCCCAAACCATAACTCCAACAGTGTGATGAACATGTCTTTCAACAAAAAACTGTGGATTCCTCCTTTCACCACGTCGCCTTCTAACCCTGGCACGACCATCGTGCATGCCTAATCAAAATCGAGACTCGTCACTAAAGACAATACTGTTCCATTCCTGATCCCAGAGTGACCGTTGTCTGCACCACTCAAGGCGATTACGTCGGTGTTCTCGAGTTAAAAGGAGGAGCCAGTGTGGCCGGTATGAAAACAAGCTAAAACTTCTCATTCGTCGGTAAACACTTCGCATGCCAATAGGTCTTCCGTGTTCTGCAAACCATTCATTTGCAATGGACCTGGTAGTGGAGAAACTGTCCCTTAAGGCCAATAATCTTAGGCGGCGATCTTCACGGTCTGTTGTTCTACGGCGGCGTCCAGTGCCCCTTGCTCTTTGCGTACGGCCTTCTCGAAGCCATGCCTGACAACACCTAACCACAGTGTCTACACTTCTTTGCACTCTAACTGCAATTGCCCGAAAAGAAAGTTCAGCTTCCCGAAGTCCCACTATACGGCCCCTATCAAACTCACTAAGTTGACGAAATCGTACAGGTCTCCGTACTTTAGGCATCGTAACCGATCGTAAAGGATGTCAAGAACCAAAATCCGCCAACGTTGATTCTTTACTGCGGCTGAAATATTCATTTTTAGAGCGTTAGTGAATTAAAAAAAAAAACAGTATGAAAACCGGAATGTCCAATTGATAAGGCTGAACATTTTTTCACTTGTTATTTACAGTAACATAAATACATTCACCAACTTTTATTAAAATAAAACCATTTAAACTGGGTGTTCGGATTTATATGTCACTTAGTATATTTCAGCAAACTTAATCTCCTGGTTTATATATCTAGGTTTTATCTTATCTCTGTGGCTTTGAAAGAAGCCCTTTTCTACAGATTATTTTCGAAACATTATCCAGAAAGAGACTAGTGTTTGTCTGTATAAATTTAAGAGCCTACACAATTGGAGATAACAATCGAAAAGCTATAAAAACTAGAACTTTGAGGTTATACTTTTGAGTAATTTAGATCCAGTCAAACAACTTAAAGGAATATAATAATTATATGTTATTAACTTATTTCCGAGATGCACATTTACAATTTACACACAAAAATAGCCTATTATTTTGTCTATACATGAGTGATGTCCATTAAAATAGTTCCTCAGAACAAGTCCTGTAATTACGGTATCTGACACCGCGGTACTCCCAGCACTCCAATTTAAATTAGACCGTTCACACTTTCGGGCTACAAAAAACCTACCATAATAGACATTAGACGCATAAGATGGCTCTTTCGTCTGCTTTTCATTATGTTACAAATGGGATATTGACCAGCTGCACTCAGTAGCGTATCTAGTTGAGGCAGAAGCAGACTTTCGTAAAAAACATTGAAGTTAGAAAATCTTCGCAATACTTCCCTGGCATGGGAAGTAGAAACTACGATATTTTGAAAACCAATCCACAGCGGTAATGTTACTAGCAATAGGCAATTGCAGAAGATTCCCATATTACATATACTAAGTGACATATAAATCCGAACACCCAGTTTAAATGGTTTTATTTTAATAAAAGTTGGTGAATGTATTTATCTTGCTATAAATAACAAGTGAAAAAATTTTCAGCCTTATCAGTTGGACATTCCGGTTTTTATACTGCTTTTTTTTAATTCACTAACGCTCTAAAAATGAATATTTCAGCCGCAGTAAAGAATCAACGTTGGCGGATTTTGGTTCTTGACATCCTTTACGATCGGTTACGATGCCTAGGGTACGGAGACCTGTACGATTTCGTCAACTTAGTGAGTTTGATGGGGGCCGTATAGTGGGACTTCGGGAAGCTGGAGTTTCTTTTCGGGCAGTTGCAGTTAGAGTGCAAAGAAGTGTAGACACTGTGGTTAGGTGTTGTCAGGCATGCCTTCGAGAAGGCCGTACGCAAAGAGCAAGGGGCACTGGACGCCGCCGTAGAACAACAGACCGTGAAGATCGCCGCCTAAGATTATTGGCCTTAAGGGACCGTTTCTCCACTACCAAGTCCATTGCAAATGAATGGTTTGCAGAACACGGAAGACTTATTGGCATGCGAAGTGTTTACCGACGAATGAGAAGTTTTGGCTTGTTTTCATACCGGCCACACTGGGTCCTCCCTTTAACTCGAGAACACCGACGTAATCGCCTGGAGTGGTGCAGACAACGGTCACTCTGGGATCAGAAATGGGACAGTATTGTCTTTAGTGACGAGTCTCGATTTTGTTTAGGCATGCACGATAGTCGTGCCAGGGTTAGAAGGCGACGTGGTGAAAGGAGGAATCCACAGTTTTTTGTTGAAAGACATGTTCATCACACTGTTGGAGTTATGGTTTGGGGTGCTATAGCTTATGGTTCCAGGTCACCTTTAATCTTTATCAGAGGTAACATGATCGCGCAGCGTTATATCCACGAAGTTCTAGAACCCCATCTTTTACCCTATCTTGACACCCTGGCAGATCCAACTTTCCAACAAGATAATGCCCGACCACATGTTGCAAGAGTCACAATAGACTTCTTTCAACATAATGATGTCACATTGTTACCATGGCCACCAAGATCTCCCGACTTATCCCCAATTGAGCACGTGTGGGATATGATGGGTAGGAGATTGCTCAATTTGCAACGTCCTCCTCAGACTCTAGAAGCACTTCGAGAGGAGTTGGTGGTTGCCTGGAACGAGATACCACAGGAGGACATTGACCACCTGATTAGAAGCATGCCTAGGCGCGTAGCACATCAGGGTGCATCCACACATTATTAAAGGTCAAAGGGTTTTAATGCAGTGCAATCATTTTGAAATTTTTACCATTTACTTATTATGCTTCATTAAGTACTTATGCAAAATTTTATTAAAATAAAACCATTTAAACTGGGTGTTCGGATTTATATGTCACTTATTATATCTTACGAGCATTTAATGCTTTTTGGAAGGAGCCAAAAAGTTTTTGAGATGTCAAATTGGCTTTCGTCATTTTTACCTTTCTTTTAACTTTGACTCATTCAAATTATGTTTTTTATGGCTCAAATGTCTGGCTCTAGCTAGCCTACATTTCCAAACTGTATTAATCTTCCCACAATGTTTTCAACCAATGTTGAACGCTCCTTTCATGTACATGTGGTGAACTTAAACTTAAGCTACATCTGCAAATACTACTGCTTGCTATGAAATTCCACACAACTTTTGTTACATTTCAACAATCAAGAGTGGAAAAAGGATGCAGCGTGCTTTTTGGAAAACTTGAGAAGAGGCAGCTCTATTATAGTTCAAAGATTTAGGGCCAATTTCACCAACAACAGTCCGTTATTCTCCACCTATAGGGTAACAGACCGTCAAATACAACGAATGAGCTTTAAGTTCCAATCAACAAATTTTAGAAACCAATAGCTATGAAATGTTGAAAACAAAATACTGTCAGAGTATGAGATGACAGCTTGTCATTGAAACATCACCAGCTTATTGAATATTAAGAAATTACATATAATTCAGTCAAAATTTTAAGAAATGTTGGATTTTTGAATAAAATTCATGTTTTAATAACTATTGTTGATTTTTTATTCATGTTTATATTATTTTCTTCAATTGATATGCGATACTGTGTGTTTTTTCCTATAAACCTCATGCAGATAGCCATTAAGCACCTACTTGATGACAGGATCTACCAAAAGATATTGCTCGTTTCCAATCATTCATTAATTTACTTGCCGTTCATCAGAACCATTATGGCACCTTAGATTGATATTCCCACAAAACCATTCAGATTTTTTGATATCCATACATCCATAAAGTTGAATATTTTTTGTTGTTCAGGAACTGAACAAACATCCACACTATATTCACAGCGATTAAGAAATTCCCAAATATATGCCTTAAAGCTACCAGCAAACCTAAAACCTGCAAAAAAGCAAGGAGTGACACATGTGTGGGATCTGTCAACTCTTGGTACCAGTCACAAAACATATACTCTGAAGGTTTAATTCCATGCTATTCAGTGACAACACGGTGACTTGTGTGGTTGTCAGTGGCCATTTTGTGAGAGTGCGACAGTGTTGCCAGATTGTGCATTAATACCCCGTTTCACCCTCCTGGTCCCAGTGGAGTAAGTTCCGCCAAGTGTTGAA